TCCTCTCACACCCACCCTTACACTCTCCTTTAGCCACGTCACCCCCCCGCCCCCGCCCAGTTTACAACTCTCGCCCTACCTCTTACGCAACGATGAACGTCCGCCTAATGCCCCTAGAACACTATCCACCCTTGACCTCTTAAATTAACCTATTCACCAATCGCATCCCCTTTCACGCTCCACTCGCCCGAACTTCCTCACGTCTCTCACACACCTACCTCAGCCAGCTCTTTAGATCGCCAATACCATACTCGCCACCTAACACGAGCCCCTACACGCCCATTCTCCGCTCTAGCCTCCACTTGAACGCTCAAAGACTATCCACCCTCTGCATCTACAGCGCCCTAGATTTATTTTCGCGAAATGGAGTCGGATATCCAAATTTTACCAAATCTATTTCTCACACATTGCCGTGCCTCAAGTCCACTACCCAACCGCTATATTTAAAATTATCCTCCTACGCTCCATACACAGAAAAAAACTCCCTCTGACCATACACTCACACACATTTTATCCACAGCGGCACTGCGCCCGGCCGCACCCACCGCCTAAATTAGACCCATTGACATGCCAAAGAAAAACGCGATCTCCTCCTTTCCAGCCAATCCCCCCCCTCCGCTTTCACGTAAACAACACAGAAACCCTCCGCCCCTGGCTCGCCGCCCCATCTCCTAACCCACCTGTCGGACACGCATGCCCAACCGCCGCCCTCACACCAGAGCGACCCGCGTCTCCGCCCCCACGTACTGCTGCCTCCGACAGCACTGCCAGACCTGCGCCTCATCCGCTCCCGACCGCGTCACATATCCCACCGGCGCATGTGCATCCTACACGGAATCATCTACTCTAACCTCGCGATGGGGTAAGTGAACCGGGGCACGACGTCAGTGAGGTGGGAAGCCTATGCATACCATTACACCGACACCGTCCCTCCATCTATACTAGTTATTCTATCATTTCTCTACCTGTCATGACATGATCTAATATATGGACAACGTCCTACCTATCTCTTGCCAAATGCCCACAACCAAAGCAATACCATTACCCATCCCTCTTTCTGACAAGTTCCTTTGCAGGTGACCCAACGCTTTCGAATGTCCCGCGGTCCTCGCCCCAACCTTACTTCACCCAGCCACCCCACAAATCATACGATCGTTAACTCCCGTAACCCGCAGCCACCTCCTGCTCGGGACCACTCTATGAAACTCTCGCTATCAGACAACTTACCACCGCCCGTTTCTCAATTAACCCCCTCTGATCCACTCTGCCCACAACTTCATAGTAGCTATTACTTTACTTCCGCTCCTCCAACCTCTAATAAGGTCCCTAACATCAATGCCTTGTATACCCTCCAACGGTATGAACTTTATTGCAACAAAATTAATCTACAACGAACTCAGGTGTGATGAGCTATAGTTAGATTTTATAACATATTTACGTTCAGATGCATAGGATCAATGCAATTGCTTGCCATAAATGTAAAATGCGATATTATTGTCGAATCCCTGTGCTCAATGCCCATGCCCCTCCCCTATCTCCCGTGCCCCTCACACTCGCCTATCGCACCCGCCTCCCCTCTGGCCACAGAAGCGTCTGCCCTCCCCTCTCCCTAACTCTCCCCTCCCCTACCACTTGCCGCATCCTCGCCCTCCACCTCCGCCTCCTCCGCCGCCCCTCAACCGCGCCCTACCGCCCCTCCGCCTCCGCCCCATCCGCCCCTCCGCACCCTCCGCCCCTTCCCCCGCTCCGCGCCCTCCGCCCCTCCAGCCCCCACTCTCGCCCCTCCGCCCACCCTACCTCCGGCCCGCTCCTCACCGACCCCTCGCGCGCCTCCGCCCCTGTCCGCCCCTCTCGCCCCCCGCCCCTCCGCCTCCGCCCCTCCGCCCCTCCGCCCCCTGCGCCCTCTTCGCGCCACCTCCGCCCCCGCTCTCAGCCCCCGCCCATCCAGCCCGACCTCCGCCCGCCTTTCCACTGGCGCGCCATGAAGTTGGTTCCGTCCCCTCTCCCGCCCTCCCGCGCCCACTCCAGGCCCCTCCGCCCCTCCGCCCGCTACCGCCCCTTCCTGCCCCTCCGTTATGCCCTCTCAGCTTCCGCCCGGCTCAGCGCTCCCTCCCCTTCCCTCCGTCTCCTCCCCCCTCGCAGGCCGCCTCACCCGCCTGCCGCCGCCCTCCCTCTGACCGCTATCTGCTGCCTCCCTTCTGCCCCTCTGTGCCCCTCCCTCTCTTGCTGGCTCCCCTCTGCCCTCTCTTCCCCGTCCTCCTCGGGCCCCTTCTGCCCCCTCCCCTCTGCCCATCTGCCCCTCCCCTCTGCCCATCTGGCCGCACTCCCCTCTGCCCATCTTGCCCCTCCCCTCGTGCCCATCTGCCCCTCCGACCTTGCCCATCTGCCCCGCCCTCCGGCCCCTCCGCCCCTCCGCCGTCCTCGCCGCCCCACCCCTCGCGCCCCCACCGCCCCCCTCTGCCCCTCGCAGCCCCGCCGCCCCGCGCACCGCCGCTGTGCTGCCAGCCCTGCCGAACCGCCGCGCGTGCCACACCCGCCGCCGCCCTCACCGCCGCCGCCCTCACCGCCGCCCGCCCTCCCACGCCGCCGCCTCACCGCCGCCGCCCTCACGCCGCCGCCCTCACCGCCGCCGCCCTCACCGCTGCGCCGTCTAACCGCCGCACCCCTCACCCGCCCTGCGACCGCACGCCCTCGCCCCCCCCGCCGTCCCCGCCGTTTCTATTCGCGAACCCGCCGCCCCCTGCCACACCCGCCACCTCCGCCACCTCTTGCGTCAACCCCTGCCACTCCTGTCGAGCCGAGGCCGCCTCACTTGCCCCTGACGCACCGCTTCCATGTTCAGGTTTGCCCAACTGCCCCCTGGCACGGCCTCGGTCGCCGCCGCCGCGAGGCGCCAGAAGCCGCGCGAGCGCGCGCGGCCCGGCCCGGACGAGCCGGCGCGCCCGGTACGGCCGAGCGAGCCGCCTCCCCGCAGGCCGACGGGGCCCCCGCGCGCAGCCACACCAATACTAATCTTAATACTAAGACTGCACTGGTGTGCGCGCGTGTGTGCCTGGATTAAGCTCAAGTAGTTGTGTATAGTGAAGATATTTAATATCAGGATATTTAAGAGAGTACGACGGTTATTTATGGTATAAGATAAGGAATGTCTGATCGCGTTTCGCTAAACCATTCGGAATTTAGTCTGGTAACTCGGTATAGAGGCCATCAATGTATGTAATTCGGTTCGTTCTGTATTGATCACCGGGATGTATATCCGGGCGTCACCATGCGGGTGTGGTCTGCGGCCGGGAAGATACATTTCCCGCGATTCGGTGGGAGAATTACTAGGCAGACGACGCGGCTCATCAGTCGTAATAGAGCGACTCACCGAGGGCGTAAGAAGACCCACCACAGGGCCCCAAACAAAAATATACCGGTACGGCCCTGTAAAACTCCGAGGACTGCCCAGCCCAGGGCCGAGCCTTGTTTACGGAAAGCAGGCGCCAAACCCTGAGAATTCCCCTTGGAGTTACGTCGGCGGCGCCGTACCAACCAAGGCTGGGCCAACTGAGCGGAGAAAGATGTGGACATTAAGGCAAGTGACACGTGCAGGCCTCCCGCCGGACCAGCCCGGCGCAGTTCCCATTATGAGAGCAAACAGTCTTCGGTGGAGGTAGCTTCCTTATACCTGTGATTAATGGGTGTCACAGTGCTCAAACTATTTATTGAACAACCCTTGGTCGGCCGGTGGCCATCTAACTCGTACATCAGCAAGACTTCCCGCCGTTCTCATGTTAGTACCAGTACTTGCCAATTCATGGGTATAGCTCTCTGGTAGTTCTGTGGCATATCACTACAAGGTTTGTGAGGAATCTCTTAGACACAAATGAAGCTGTCTATTAACTAGTGTGAGAGATACGGAGGTAATGAGGTAGATAAATTTACTTATGTTGCTGGGTGAGAGAAAAACTTGTTACACTTCAGGTGGAAAAAGTAAGGCCCTCTGAAACACATCTATCAGCGTTGCCTAGATAAGGGCACACCAGACACGCCCAACTGTACAAACGAGCATTCGATTAATTTTTTTGGCGTTCAGGACCAATCGTTGCCACAGCTGGTTAATGTGTATCGGACGGAGAGTTTCCGTCCTGACCCATGACCGCCGCATCGACGCGTGGCTTGTATTTTTCTGCGGTAAAGCAGTGTTTCTGAAAAGGAAAAGGTTGCGGAGTAATATTTAGCAATTCATTGTAAACTTGTACATAAATCGTTAATGAATATTATTTTTCTTTTTGATTGAAACGTTTTGCTAATTTCCACTACGTCACAATCCTGCCCCCACGCTTGGCCCTTTTTGCCGTTACCCCGGCCTGGTCCAATAGGATTCCCCAAAAAGTTTTGAAAATCACCGATAATTTGTGTTAAATAAATAACGTAAACCTAATAAAAAACAAATTCAATTGCAAGCATTAATATTTAACCCCTCCAATGTAATAGACCAAAAATCCCGAACCGACATTTAGTAGAACGATTTCCCAATTATTAATTCAGTATTTAGGTTAGTAAGCGTTTCTCCCTCCCGATTGCCCGAAGAAAGCTTATGATAATAAATCATTATTAATGTGTATCATTACGCATCCAAAATGAAACAAAGAAATTATACCCAAAATGGAGTGGAAAAACGTTTATGGTTGTCTTTTCCCAAGCCCGATTAACAGTATATATCTAACCCATTACAATCTAAAATGATAATTATCATTATAATACAGCTATCTTCAGTACCTACAATTCGCAGAAATCTCTAAAACCGTGACGACGCAACCTTAAACTTAAAGCTAACAGCCCCTTCTATTATACTGTACATTAAGAATAACATCTGCAGAACGTCGGGTTCTAACTGAACCAGGGTTTCGTTCGGATTTGGTACATTAAAATTACATGAAGTATCTATATTATGCTGCCAAATGAATTCGTTTTATTATCTATTCTTTTACACCGCGTAAGAACTATTCATTTTAACGAAACAAATAATGCGTGATCACTTTGATCCTATTTGACCAGCCCGTACGGCAAAACCACGTGGGGCAGATTAGTTGTGAAACGTAGTGAAATAAAAATAGTGAATGGTTCAATAACACAAGAAAAATTACACAATATTTATTAAAGAGTAAATGTTAGCCAATTACCATAGAATTGGCTAAGATACGAAAGCGCAAACCTTATTGTTCACTTTTTTCTCCAGAACACTGCTTTACCGCAGAAAATACAAGCACGCGAACCGTCTGATGCGACGGTTCAGGACCTCCGTCCCGTTGACAATTACCGTCACATGGTCTGACGCCAAAATTTAAACCCCCGGGTCGTGGCGACCGTGTGCCTACAGCACGCGAGATTGTCTGGCCCTTACTCTACGACATCTCACCCACACTCCTACCACCCCCTTGTACACAGTACAAGCCTTCCCGATGCAAAACTGAGATGAGAAACGCGGCGCAGATGGCGCCGCAGTTTAAATAGTGAGGCTCGACACCCCCACCACTGTATCCATAGATAGGCTCGCCGGCTGGCGCGAGCTCGCGGCCAGCCTTGGTTTTACGCCCCCACAACAGATTCTCAGGTTGGCTGCCTGCTTCCCGTAAACAAGGCTCCGCGCTAGGCATCTCGGAGTTTACAGCCTACGGTATTTTGGCTCTGCGGTTCTACCTGAGTCACCCGCCAGAGCCGCAAACTCCCGGAAGTTCAGGCTCAACCCCTTCCTCCCCCGCAGCGTACTTTCACCGACCTAACGGTTCTGGCCCTCGTGTTAACGACGCCACAATAAGGTTATAGAGAGCTTTCCACTACGTGGCCTTACCTGAATCCTACAAGTTAACTGCCATGAAACGATTCAATGTAAACGTTTAACTTATACACGTTATCATAAGTTGTAGAAAAATTACCGTATGAAACTCTTACTGTAATGAGTATTAGTACTCTATTAGTACACATATGCCGATACATCGTTTCATAATGTACTATTATTAAAGCCTCAGTGTCTGTGTAAACCATCCATCTGTATCAGGGTTTCACAGGCCTTCATTTTACTTTGCAGTGCGTGTGTAACCTCACACTCCGACGCATGCCAATCTCACCTGCTGAATATGACGCATCTTTCTTCATCACTTCGACGAGCCTCAGTGGACGTACAAATAAGGTAAGCAATAAATACTTTAGTATTTCGCTGCATTCAAAAAGATGAAATGAAATTTATTACAATTACATTTTTGTTCATTCGCTGTATTTATGAATTTTGCTAAAGAACACTCTATTTCAGTTATGTGGAAGACGTCTTTCCTAAACGTAGCCTGGTGTTACTGTACTACTATTATATTATCTCAGTTTACTTTACGTCCCTATACAGTATTTGAGTAACTTCCGAGTGTGCAGATATGCTGCCGTTCGAATGTTCGGATATGTAGTTCCGTCAGACCAAGATAGACCACTTTCCGTGCACCAATCGAGAGATGAGGTGTCATTCAACGTGTTTCAGTCTCCTGATGGGGAATTGATAATTTGTTTTCGGATCCGGCCCCAAGATTCAAAGAAATTTCTTAAAAGGTTTTGTTTTTGTTTTGGCGCTGCGATCTTATTGATAATGTCAGAAATTAAATCAACAACTCCTAAATAGATTTATGCAGGTTACGTTGATAAACTCCAGTACCTAAAGGCAATTTTTACTCAATACGTCATAATTTTCTTTTATTACGTTACCAACACTGATATTGACTGCTTTAAGTGAACAATTGAACTATTAAGCGCATCGCGCTGCAGATTCCCTTTCAATTTTGATTCGAATTATTAAAGAAATTTTCCGAAACCTACGAACAATATTGCCTCAACGTATTAATCTTTAAGAATTTCAAGTGAATACGGAGAAAGCGAAACTGTAATAATAGAAAATTAATGAACGTTCTAATGTTCGACTTTTCACTTTAACGTTCTTACATAAATTTGCAAATACCAATATTAAAATAAACGTGACCTACAAATTATTATTATTATTATTATTATTATTATTATTATTATTATTATTATTATTATTATTTAACTTAACCAATGCCTTATTCACATAAACATAAAAAATCGCCTTTTAGTGTTTATATAGAATCGCATTAAAGAGATTCACAGAGCAATTGCAGAGGTAGAAGTAAAAACAATTTAGACTGAGTTTGTGTAGTTTTAATCTCTTCAAAAATGTGGGGGGTAAATTTGGAAGTGTTAAGTAAATGTGGGGAAGAATCAAATGAATGTTGTAGAAGATTTTGCGACCGAATTTTCGGAACTAATCAGGAATGATCTGCATTTAGCATTTATGCTAATGCAAATGTGCTATGTGCATTCCTATGCATCTTCGCAAAAAGCTTAAAAATATAGCTCTACTAAAATCTAACTAATAGCATCATCAAAACCTGAAAGTATTCGTTACGACGATTAAAATTTTTAAGTTGCAATAAGACCAGTTCATATCCCGTTTGGAGGTAACATACAAGGCCATTGAGTGTTAGGAACTTTTGAACGGAAGTATAACATTATCAGCTACTATGAACCATTGTTTATGCACATAATTTATTTAAAAAAACGGTGTATTTTTCTGATAAATATTTCATGGAGATTATTTCCAAGATTACCGTTACGCAGAGTAAAACAATTTATTAATCTTTGGCGGCACCATTCAAATTTCACCCGCACCATTCAAAATAGAGCCGTTCACCTGCAAAATTATCATTTCAAGAGATATTTGTCCTGTTTGTGCATTGCAAATATATTTGATTCTATTACGTAATTGAGAATTCATGTCCATACAGTCAATGAAGAAATGACTAAAAGTTAAACTATGATATGAAAGGAGTGAAGAGAGTGTGCCGTAGAATGTATGCAATAGCTTCAACTCATAGACGTGCGTGCACGTACACGGCTTAACCACGTCGCCGACGCGAATAGGGCGATTTCCGCTGAGATGCGAATGTGCCCGGGTCCGGGATCATCGACGCGAGCTACGCGAGGGAGCAGCAGGTCTGCTCATTGTCCGAGGAACAATCAGGGAAGCTGCGCATGCTGTGAGCGGAGGCTCGGGGTCCCACAGGGGTCACAATAGGGGAACCTCGTCTTGGGTCGAAGGTGGACTGTGCACATTGCTGGAAAAGAATCGCTTTTTGCTTGTTACATGTCAAATGGTCTAATTTTGGAGGAGTGCCCCGCGCAGCTGCCTCGGGCTTTGATAAAATGTGTTTTGAGTGCTACATGTCCCAGAGGAGTTTTTTCTGATTCTATGTCGACAGAAGTAAAATAATTTTTTAGATATAGCCGTTTGTATGACTCTAGGCAACGGCAGCGTTGTTGAATGTTACAATAAGATTTGTAAAACTTTGGGATACTATAGATCCTCCCCAATTTTCGCGAAACAAATAAATCTAAACTTACGTGCATAATTTTATCTCTGAATTCAATGAAACTAATAACAATGTTTGCTCTTATTAATGCGGATATCTTGCAGCTAAATTGCCGAAAAAGATGTGTTAAAGAAATTCCAGACTAGCATTGAATAGCTTCTTTAATGTGTAAAAAAGAGGTGATATTTAGCTCATAACATATCAGCATTACATCCTTTCTAAATGCATAATTTCAACCTTCTAGCTCTAAAAAGTTAATTTTATTGACTCAGTTCAAAATGTAAAATACTACTTATTATTTACAGAGTAAAATATACTTATTATTGTATAGTTTCCCCAACATTCAAGCATAAAAGTTGTCAATTAACTCATATTTCAATAGTCTTTGTTTTTAATGGAAAATTTGAGTCGCCTAAAATTTGCATATTCAGTAAAACTTAAGTGTATCCCTGAATTTAACCCCATTTAACAAAAAAGTAAATGGACTATTCTAGGAGTTTCAAAACGTTTTTCCACAGGAAACAGGTTTGGTAGAATTTCTAGAAGGTATATTTTTCGAAGAAGGCAGACAAAGCTTTATTTTGGGAGCTTTTTACGAAATCATCAACTTTACACTTTTTAGTCGAATCATCACTCTAGTTTCAGCCGGATAATAACAGACTTCTCTCGGGATACAACATACGCTAAACTTACGAGTCTTACGAACCAAGTGTTCGAAGCGTCCGGAACACCAAATATTTACTTATGTACTCACTCAATTTGCGTTTGAACTCGTGCGCGTATACGTAGCTCAATGCTGTAATTGCCATGGCTTCCGCCCACCTGAGTCCCAGACACTTTCATGAAAAATGTATATTTGATTTTTTTATAATATCAAGATGGTTTAATGATAATGGTGCCCGTGATAGAGTAGCTGAGTATGGTGCTAAATTCTTATATATATTTTAAAGAGAATATTGAGGCGGTATTTTAATAAAAAAATTGAAAATGACTTAGGGATCTAACTATAGCTCATTTAAAATTAAAAGATTTGATTAAATTTATGAGCATTGAGTTCTTCCAATCGATCTGGGAACGACTATTTGGAGGAAATTCTGTAAACATGAAGACACTAGTGTTACGGAAGAGGCATTTGGCGGCTTAACAGGGGAATTTACATGAAAAACGAATTTAATTTCCATGATTTCAAAACTAGTAAAATCTCAACCGACAAAGAAATTCAAGAATACATAAAAGTAAATTATCTCCGATACAATAATTTTCGTTGAAACCGAATAAACACATAACAGTAAGTTTCAATCGTACTTTTAACATTGCATAACTTCTGCTTTGTGTGGGGTGGGGTGGAGGGTGAATTCATTGGTTGGCATCATTATGTGAACTGCAAGTGAGTGATTTCGAAAATTAAACTCTTTTGGCACTTCCAATTGGAACAGCTATATCTCAAACCATAACTAGTTCATCTATAAAACATCTATAAGACATTTTAAGGGAAGTAAATTCCTGGAGAGCGATGAGATTCTATGTGGTGTCGCTCGGCCAGGTCAACTCAGGTCACCATTGGAAAGGAATGCAGCACAGTTAGGCGGGCGGGTTATGAGGATCAATCTACCCATGTAAGGCGGTGGCAGGAGCTGTCAGAGCAAGCAATGCACAGAGCCGACACAAGAGCAGGGGCTCTCCTGCAGAACGCGGCCTCATGCCTTGTCTGTCTCCCCGTTTACCGCCCGCTCGCCCAGGTCTGCCCTCATCTGCCTCCATCCCGTCCTCCCACAAACACCACCCACCTACGCCCGCCCCGCTCGCCTCGCCGGCCAACGCCTACCCGGCTACTTTCCATCAACAATGCTTAGTCGTTTGCCCGTCCACCCGCCCGTTCACACCGCCGCGTTCACGTCACTCCGTTCACGGGCGCACCCTTTCACCCGCCGCCACCCGCCCGTCACTCACCCGCACCCACTTGCACCGCACGCACCGCCGTCACCCCCCTCTCACCCGCCCCACCCGTCCCACCCGCCCGTCCTACCCGCCGTCCACCCGCCCGTCCGACCGCCCCACCGCCCGTCCACCACGCCCGTCACTCCGCCCGTCCACCGCGCCGTCACCCGGTCCCCGCTCCACCCGCCCGTCACCGCCCGGTCACCCGCCCGTCCACCCGCCCGTTCCAGGCTCTCCACCCGCGCCCGCCAAGTCCGCCTCCACCCGCCCCAGCTCGTCCACGCACCGTCCTCCACCGTCCGTTCCGTCACGCCGTGTCCACGCCCGTCCACCCGCCCGTCACCGTCCCACGCCTCCACCCGCCGTCACCCCGCCCGTCCACACGCCCGTCCACCCCCCGTCCACCCGCCGTCCACCGCCGTAACACCGACCCGTCCAACCCCGCCGTCCACCCGCACGTCCACACCGCCCGTCCACCCGCCCGTCCACCCGCCCGTCGACCCCGTCCCGTCCACCCGCCGCGTCCACCCGCCCTCCACCCGCACCCGTCCACCCGCCCCGCCGCTCACTCCCGCCCGTCCACCCGCCCGTCCACCCTCGCCCGTCACCACCGTTCCGCCCGTCCAGCCCGCCGTCCACCCGCGCCGTCCACACGCCCGTCCACCGCCGCCGTCCACCCCGCCCGTCACCCGCCCGTTCCACACCGCCGCGTGCACCCCCCGTCACCACGCGTCACCCGCCGTCCCACCGCCCGTCCACCCGCCCGTCACACCCGCCCAGTCCACCCGCCCGGTCCACCCGCCCGGTCCACCCGCCCGTCCACCCCGCCGTCTCACCGCCCTTCACCGCGCAACGTTCACCATCGCGCCCGTTCAGCCCGCCCGTTCACCTCCCCGTTTCACACGCGTCGACAGCCCGTTACCTTCCCGTCACGCCGCCCGTTCACCGCCTTCACTCCGCCCGTTCACTGGCCGCCCGTTTCACCCGCACTCACCCGCCCTTCACCCTGCCAGCCCGTCACGCCGCCCCACGCTCCACCCGCCGTCGGTCCTACCCGCCCCGTCCACGCCGCCCGTCCACCCGCCCTCCCACCCGCCCGTCCACGTCCGCCCGTCCACCCGCCCGTCCACGCGCCCGTCCACCCGCCCGTCCAACCCGCCGTCCACGCACCGCCGTAACGCGGCCTCCACCCGCCCGTCCCGCGTCCACCGCCTACCGCCGCACCCGCCACCCGCCCGTCCGTCCACCCGCCCGTTCACCCGCCCGCGCCCGTTCACTCCGGCCCGTTCACCCGCCCTCACCCGTTCACTCCGCCCGTTCACGCGTCACCGCCGTTCACTGCCGCCCGTCACCCGCCCCGTTCACCCGCGCCGTTCTCACCCTAATCCCCGTCTCAACCGCCCGTTCACAACCGCCCTCCACGCCCGTTCACCCGCGCGTTCATCCCGTTCCCACGCCCGTTCAGACCCGCCCGTTCACCCGCCGTTCACCGCGTTCCAACCCGCCCGTTCACAGGATCCGCCCGTCCACCCGCCCGTCCCACCCGCCCGTGCACCGCCCGGTATCACAACCGCCCGTTCTCACTGGTCCGTCAGTCACCGCCGTACCCGCCCGATTCACGACCGCTTCAGCGCCGTTCACCCGCCCGTCACGGGCCGCCCGTTCACCGCCCGTTCACCCGCCCGTTCACCGCCCGTTCACCCGCCCGTCACCCCGCCGTTCACCCCGTTCACCCGCCCGTTTCCACACCGCACGTTCACGCCGCCCGTTCACCCGCCCCGTTCACAGTCAGGCGCCCGTTCACGAGCGCCGCCCGTATCCCGCCGCCCGTCCACCCGGCCGTCCACCCGCCCGTCCACGCCGCCCGTTCACCCGCCCGTTCACTCCGCCCGTTCACACCGCCCGTTCCCCGCCGTTCACCCGCCCGTCACACGCCCGTTCCCGCCCGTTCACCGCGCCCGTTCACGCCGCCCGTTCACCCGCCCTGTCCACCCGCCGTCCACAGAGCCACCCGTCCACCCGCCCAGTCCACGCCGTCACCGGTTTCACGCCGCCCGTTCCACTGCCGCCCCGTTCACCCGCCCGTCACCCGCCGTTCACCACGCGCCGTTCACCGGACGCCCGTTCACTGCCGCCCGTTCACCCGCGTCACGGCCGCCCGTTCACACCTGCCCTTCACCCCCGTCCCCGGCCGTTCAAACCCGCCCGTCACCCCGCCCGTCCACCCGCCCGTCCACTCCGCCCGTCCACGCCGCCCGTTCACAGGCCGCCCGTTCACCCGCCCGTTCACCGGGAGGCCCGCTTCACTGCGCCCGTTCTACCCGCCCGTTCACCCGCCCGTTCACACCGTCCGCCCGTCCCGCCCACAAACTTCAGATCACCACCCATTCTAGACCCCATTTACTCTTCGCTCGCATGTAACGCGCCCGTCCGCCACCTACATCCTCAAACGAACATACCCCCGTGACCTGCTAGTCTTTACTTCCTCACGGCCATTCCCTTCACACCCACAAACACACACAACTCAACTCACATACTCCTGGCGGACAAGCCGCATTCTCCCATTCGCTCACATCACCTGGCCACGGCGGCCTTCTGTCACCCGACTCCCGGCGCGTCAAGGGAAGTTCACTAAACAACGACCGCCCGCGCCGCCACTCTTCCTCTGCTTACCGCCCCCCTGCCCCCCCTAACCTTTACGACCGGGTTCACCCGGCACAGGGCGGGAGGCGCGCGACTTGCAACAGTCGACGGCCAACGGGCTTTTGATCCAGCCGCTCTATGATATTATAGAGTCGACTGGTTCCCCAGATTGTGGGTTTGTGGTGGTGTCAGGGAACCAGGAAATGTTTGCGAGAAATCTAGTTGAAAACGAAAGCGGTTTCCGATAACAGGAGTTTTGGTAAAAGTTTATTGAATTGCTGAGTGACGGAATGTGTAAATAAGCTGCTGAGCCAGGCGATCAGCATCAAGCTGTGTAGAAGCAGGAAATTATTTCCAAAAATTCCAAAAATTGCGCAGCGTTCACTTAATGAATTTACCTTTCTCCGGTGTGTGTACTTACGTATAATAGAGTACGTAAAGCTGGGTAAACTCCGATTTTAATGGAAATAGTCCGTCTTGGGGTTTCGAGCACACAATATATTTTGTAATGAATGATATACCGAAAGTATGTTTAATAATTGTGTGGTTTATTACTTTGGGTAAAAATGATACGGAAAATGTTTTTAAATGCTGGTCGTTACTACATCGCATATGTTTGTCCCTGAGCTCTTTCCTTGTCCCATCTCTAACATGTCCGGCTAATTCTGTCCTGTCCGGCTATCACTGTACTATCTCCGTCTATGCCACCTATGTCTGTCTCGCCTCTCACATTGTCAAGCCAGTTCGGGTCTAATTTTCCTCTCTGTCCGTTTGAACTGTTCGTCTGTCTCTCGTCCAGGTCCGGCGTCGGGAGCTCGGGAGTGTTGGGGGCATCAGGGGGGTCGGGGCGGTGAGGGTGTCGGGGTGGCCGGGGCGGTGGAGGGCGTCGGGGGCGGTGGGGACGTCAGGGGTTTGTGGGGGCGGTGGAGGGTGGCGGTGTGGTCCTCCAGTGCGGCGGGGCGGCGAGGAATGGTGTGACTGGACGGGTGAGGCAGGGTGGGAGGCGTGAGCGGTCGGCTGTGGTGGTGAGGCAGGGGCGTTATGGGGGGCGGGGGGTGTGACGCAGGAGCGTGAGGCGGGGTCCGGCGGGGGCGGTGGGGGGGTGGCCAGGGTACCATGGGGACGGCAATGGGAGCAGGGCTGGCAGGAATCGTGTGGCTGGCGGCGGCGAGGCAGGGGGGCGGCGAGGCGCTACGTAGGAGCGTGAGGCCGGGGCTAGCGGGGGTTGGCAGGGGCGGCGGGGGTGAGGGGCGGCGGGGCGGGCTTGCCGCCGTTGTGAGCGGCGCGTGGGGCGGCGCGGCGTGTG